GGAGAAATTAATCGAATTTATCGTTATACGGGAAACGGAATTTGCCAAAAGAGCCATCCGGGGAAAGTTTCTCCAGGCGAAACTATTGGCACGGTTTCCGAAAGAGCACGCGTTTCCTTAGAGCGTTCCATATTTGTTTAATTAGTCGAGCAATGATGGCACTGGGAGCACTGGGGTATTGGACACTGTAGATGGATTGCCCGGTAGGAAGCTCCGTGTGGAGTTGCTAATTAAACTCAGTACGAACTACCCTCGACTTGGACTTTCGTCGTGAGTACTGGTTTTAACGACGACAAGCCTCGTTCCGTAGAAATCCTCACGGAGAATCTATTTGCTATTTCCCTTTACCCTGTATCTGGTTTCTATTTGGTCTGCCTGGCTTCTTGAATTTTCATTTCGAACGCCTTTCTTAATTCGTCAAAGGAACTCGTTAACGGATTCTCAGCCGCGATTCGTATTATCGGGTCGTAATTTGCGTCTACGGTGGTTACACGGCGACTCTGTAATTCGAGTCTCCTTCGTTTTATAAAACGAAGAGCATCGAGCAAATCGGAAAGTGTGACACGTTCCGCGGGATGTTAACGTTGATAAAATGTATTCGATCTATTAATTATCAGACATCTAGTGCAAGATGACTGACAAAAATACAAATTACGAAAAAAAGTAGAAAATTTCGAATCGGTTCTAATTCGATGTCCAAGGAATTGAAGTTTTACCCAACAGGGTAATTAGTTTTATCCCTAACAGGATAATTAACAGTAAACTCTTCTGATAATATGATTCCTCTATCGGTCGAACCGCTATCACGGTCAAAGATCGGTAATCGGCGATATCGTGGAAATTGCGGCTGATAATTTTGGAAGGGCGGGGAATAAGTTTGAGGCAATAACAACGGGAAAAGGTTTCATAGATTATTCTATTGGAAGAATAAAAGGCAACGCTGTGGACATCTTTCGTGCTTGATCGTATAGTTTAGAATATTTCGAGGTCTAGGTGTTAGCCTAAAATAGTTTCGAATGTCAGGCATTTCGGAAATTTCATGATAAACGAGCCGCATTCCCAAGTGGCTCTCGAGTCTCGAATAACTGAGAAGTTTCGACATTTTTACGAGACTCGATGTAATTAGCGTGAAAATCGCGGTGGTAAAGGTACGTATGTATTAATGTTTGTGATTACGTATGTAGTTAATATTATATTTTACATTAGAAATATAAAAGAGGTAGTCTCTTTTAACGCGAACTCTAAAAAGGAATAACGTTGCTCTTCTTTACATATTCGTTGAACGATCAGCCTCCAAGTTCCTCTTTATTCTTTCATTTCTTCATCGTCGTCTGAACTTTTCCCCTCCATAATTTTATTTAACGCCACTTCTAGAATCGCTAGTTCGCACTTCTTCTCCCTATTCTGTACATCTTTAAAAGCACTTTCCTCCACCATCGTCAAAGGAACAAAGACGAAAAAAGCCAGACTTTTAAAAAAGGCAACGAAAAGAACCATCGAAGAAAGGGGAAAAAAACAGGAAGAAAGTAAAAAGATTAAAGGAACATCGTCGCTAGGTTCGATCTTTTCGACGTCGTTCGATTCGACGGGAAATCATCTGGCCTTCTAGCCTACTCTCCTCTCGACCGGTTGCATGCACGAACCCGTAATAATATGGATGACTTCGATGCGATTAGGAACGCAAGCTCGCCGAGGATGGCCCTTCAGAGGTGCTTACCAGGCGTTCACCTTCTCTGTTCCGCTCTTACGAGTTCGCTTGCAATATTCGAGCCTTCCTACCCGTAAGCATCCTTTCAACCTCGCCCTTGTCATTCCCTCGCCATACCGCCTTCGCGTCATCCTCCAGCCTAAAGGACTGCCAGCCCGAGAGTATCTGCCTACTTAACACAAGCACCGTGCATACATTTTTAATCGGCTCCACGTGATGCCCGACATCTTTGCGTTCATCGATCCGTGCTGAGATTCGCGCAGAGCATTTACAATTTACAGAGAATTCTCTCTATGCCGCTTTGTTCAGGTCTCCCTTTCACGTTGGACTGTTTGAACGTATGTCTGCCAGGTGCTAGTTTCGGACAAAAGTAGGAAATATTTATCGAGGCGATACTAATCTCTCGAGTGAATTTTTGTCGATCGTTTGGAGAGAGGTTTCGGAAGTTGATCTAGTTGAACTAGTGAAATGAATTTTAACGCGCGTAGAGATATTTGCGAACGTATAAGCGAAACGACAATGTTCGTTACAATACGATTAAAATTACGAATTGTAGCAGATTATTGCAGCGCAAACTCGTTCAGCTGTATTCAATTTACGTTTCCTACGATTGTCGTTTTTTGACGCTGTACAATCATTATATATCCTCGTAATAACATCTACACGGTAATTTGCATTCGCTCGATCACTACATTTATGTAAATTTAAGATTTAATTACTTTTGATAATGAACGATTGAATACAGAAATAAATTGATATCTGACGATACAAAGCATGTAATAATTAACGTCGATCGTTCATTTCTACAAACATTTTTAGTTTTAAATATTTAACGTAGAGTGTAATTCATCGATAAATTCGGTGACAAATTACACACCCTGTTTTTGAACCCTTGTCCTCTCACGTATCTCCGCGGGAAATACGGTTAAAGGAGTGCTAAGTGAAACAATCTCGGAACATCCCCTAATGGCGTTCTTTTGATTCTCTCCTCTTCTCGCGTATCTTTATATTTCTCTTTCTTATTTCGCTCTTCCTTGCCCAAGGACCGCTCGTCTCCTCTTACTATTTTCATCGCAACTTTTCATTTTTTCTCCTTCTTTCGTATATCTCGCTTCCGAAGGATTTCTTCTGTTCTACAATTCGATTTTCCCTCGCCCTTTTGCCATCCGCCATCTTTCAATTCCTCGTGCAAGCTAGACACGGTGCACGTTTAATTTCCGCCCTCTCGGTTCGACTGTACGCTCGGAGGTCGCAGAAACGCGAAAGGACCTGGTAAACGATAACGACGAGTATATCTTATAATTCTGCGAGGTTGCACCAACTTGAGTTTCGTCGCTCGAACTTCCGCCTAATTGTTCCATCAAATATTATCCATATCCATAGGTACCGTGACCACGTATTACCAAAATTGTTACGTATCCGATCTCTTATTACGACGTAACGCTTCGTTTTACGAATTTTTCGATCGATAGGCGATCGAACGAACGAAGAAACGAACGACCGAAGAAACGAACGACCGAATAAAGACTTTGTTCGTTCGTTCTTTTTCGTTCCATTAATGCGAATGAAATTTATGTTCGTAGAAACGTAACGATAAATGCAAATCTGATTCGCGTTGTGCGTATCCGAGCGCACAGTCGCTGAACTTTTTTAACTGCAGCCCCGATACAAAGTAAAATTACGTGGATAGAGAAAACCTGCAAGGGGTAAGTCAGTTTTAATACTTTGAAAGCGTTTAACGTAACGCCGCAAACAGAAGATTAACGTAAAATTATGTAATGTATATAATCGGGTCGCTTTCTCGTTCGAACTCGCGATTCTTAAGTACTTCGTTACTCAACGAGTAGTTAAGTAATTATTACATCGTCCTTACACGAGCCTATTAAAACTTGCTAATTTAACACCGTTCCCTTATAAAAGACTCCGAAGAAATTTCTCCTATAATCGTCGTAAGAATGCAATTCGCGGATTTGTTAAATACGATATCTTTTATTCCTCGCAAATTATGATTCTTGTCACTTGCCGATTCGTCGATATTAGTTAGCAAATTGTCATACGGAAAGATCTTGAATTACAAAAGTCTATCGTTAGCCCGGTAAAAAAAGAGACAACTATTCTAAAAAATAAGCACCAGCTACTCGTTGAGAAAATTCTGACGAGCTCCCTTTAAGTCTTAGGGGGTCACGCAGTCGACTAAACGAACATAATAGCGAAATTCGAGCCGTTGCAGAAGGTTCGTGGCAATTATCATCGTGAAAGGTAAGGGCAAACGCGAGGCGTTTCGTCTCGAGGGCAGAACGCTGCTGGACGTAAAATTTCTTTAATCTGGCGAAGTAACGCGCGAAGAGTCGGTCGCACGCGGCCGTAGAATTCTTCGTTTCGCTAAGTTGGTAACAATTAGTAGTTAGTAAGCCCCGAGAGCTGGGTCGTATTCTCCGGCAGCAACGATTATTGCGGGCCTGGCAATGGTACTAACGATGCGTACGCAAACTTTACATTTATCGTTATTGTGCCTCGTCAACCCGCCGTGCCAGCTGTTCTACACTTCCGTAGCCACTCCTTTCTTTTGTTCCTGACGCTAGTGCCGGTTTTTCTCTATTCCGTTTTCTTCTTTATCTTTAAGTTCTTCTTTTAACGGATCCCATACGTTGTCTCGCTATAATACTCTTTCACGATCGTTACGACCGTCGATTTTGTTCTCTTCTATTCTTTAATTCTATAGCTACTACATAATTTCTTTTATTCTTACAGTTAGCTCTCGCGATTGTCTTCGTTTTCTGATCGTTCTTGCTTTTAATCGTCAATCTTCCTTGCAATGGATATCAAGTTTCTCCTCCCACTCTTGGTGCTTATTATTCCTTTTTCTTTATCGTTTTTTTTTTTACTCCTACGGGTACTTACTTCTTTCATCAAGTCATTTTTCTTCTCAGTTTTCTTCATCTTTTCACGTTTACGTCGATGGATATGTTTCATTCTTTTCTTTATGGCCGCTTCCTTTTATCCTTTGCTCGTTTCCAGGGCTATTTTATGTTTATGCTATCTGTTTTCGCAAATGCTTCACTTCTCCGCGATTCCTTTTCCTCGGGGGATATCCAATTTTTCTATTTTCCGTTTTTATCGATCATTACCTTCGCTGAAAGCTATTTCCTATTATTACTCTTCCGAGCCTCGGAACGGAGCAACCGAAAACACCGAAGATCTATCAAATTCTTTCTTATTCTTTAGCATTCTACAACAATGAACAGTCGGTTAAACGGTTCAGGTTTTGTGCGATTAAATAGCATCTTTCCGTGTGACTTCAAAATTTTAATATTTTCCATACAATGTAAAATTATCTTCGTTAATACAGTGTCAAGAAACTGATTCCTCGTTGCTAAGGTATTAAATAACAATGTTGTGTGTTAGAATATTCTATATTCAAATGTTATTTCATTCAACATACGTAAATTTTTCAATCTGTCAGAGACTGAACGAAATCTCTTTATGAATCGTAGTATATAACTTAAATAGGAACAGCGATTCGTTATTGCAATTAAATATTATTCTTGCACATACGAAAGAAATACGTATAAATAGGAACATTTTAGGAAGAGCCAGATAGAACGATCTCTATAAATATCGATAACTTGTACAAAAGCGCTCATAGAATAAACATGAAATGATCTTCTTTATTCTAGAATCTCTTTGATCAGAGGTATGGCTGAGATTAATAAACGTAATACCAGTTTGAGTCTTTATTACAATATGAATATGAATTCGATAAAAGCTTATCTTTTAAGACATACCTTTTTTCAATATTTAGTTTTATTCGCTATTCCACAGGATTCACCGTTCCTTTCAGGTTCAGGCACAAATCACCGCGATAAATACATTTTCACCATCAACGAAAAACGTAAGTGGTAAAACCTCGTTTCTTCAAATGGTTCAAAATGTATCTTAAAAAAGATTTTGCATAGGAATCGTTCTACCTGGTAGATTACCGAGTCAACCTATCGAGCAAATTGTTAACTTTCTCACAGTGTAGTACGAGAGAAAGTTAGGCAAACCATGGAATACGATACCGTAACGCTGTACTATAACGCCCAATCAGAAACCAAACACCGATCAATTCCGTTTTCTGAAAATTACTTAATTTTAATGTTAGAACGAGTAATTGTTCATCTGCATAGAAATCATAACCGAATTGTTAACACTCATTAGGTAGGAGCGGCCGATGTTACAAATTTTTACATCTGGCTCGACGAATCAAAGAAATAGTTTGTTAGTCGTTCCCTTTAGCCTTCTTCGTCGTTCTACTGCACTATGAAGGAATTCGGTTAACAAAAGTATCACACAAACGCGATTATGTTACGGTGCAACAAAGAATTTCCGATTTCCTTTAACGCATTCCCGATCCCCTGAAACCGATCTTCGACACTCCTATCTAAAATGCGATAAAACTCAAGATCGGAGGTGGCGAACACGGCAGTTGCGTGGAATTTCGAAGAGGGGATGAAAAAAGTCGAGGAACGTGTCAGTTTTTCTGTGGTTTTATCAGCCGGCTGGCCGGGGGTGGTAATTTGTTGAAGCCAGCGTTGTCGAAGACCGGAAGCAGATCCCTGACTCTTTGTCCAGCACCGACGGCTGCCAGCTCGAGCCATCTGAAACGATGGCGGCTCTTGTTGAAAAACGAACCGCTTCATACTCGATTTTTATTACTTTCCGGGCAGCAAGGACTCTAACAGCTTTCGTGCTAGTAACGTTAAACTCCGAATTGGCAGAATAATGATTTAGTTCGATTAATTGGACAGTGTATCGTGCGTAGCGCTGTAAGACAAGTTCGGCGAGTTTCAATTAAAGATGGAACGTGCCGTGTTTTAGTAAGTGCGGGTTAAATATAGGCAATATATTTGATGTTATACAAGGCGGGCAAAGATGTCAAACGTTTGATGGACTTTTTGAAGAAACGCGACTACACGAAATCACGCTTATCCAACCATACTTCCACGCTACAGAGTCTATAGGACGTCGTAGTTATTATTTCGACGTAAAAGCGACGGAGGATATATCGTCGAATGAACCAAGTTTAGACTGAAACTTAGATATCCGCTTTCAGTTTCAGCGATACGCGGTCGCTTTGTCTCCCTTCGAGCAGAAACAAACGGAGATTTCGATGCCGCGGTTATTTTCGGCATTTCCAATTTACGCTTTAGAATCGAATAGCTAAAGCGCGGCTTTTACGATTCCATAAACGCGACGCGTATTTCACCAGGCGATACGGTTGTCTATTTTCCGTCGACCTAATAATCTCGCGTCTGATAAACGGCTAAACTCGTGAACAACGCCGTTCCGAAGTATCGTCGTCTTTGATGAAACGTACCAGACACGATAATTGACGTTTGGCGGATTAACGTCTGCCATCTGCATGCATAAAGTCTGGTTTAATTGGTGAGAGGGTTTTAATGTTAATCGCGTTACTCGGTCGAACGATCGATTGCTCTTTAAGAGCAACGAATAAATTAAATTGCCGGACATACTAAAGAAAATGGTTAATTCGTTAATTTCCGTTTCCGTCGACGCATATCGTAATTTTGTTCATTTTCATCGTAACAACGCGCGAGGAAATTTGTATTACCCAATTGCAACTGGATAAACTTTATACAAATATATTCGATATCTGAAAAAAGAAAGGGCATGATTGGCGGACGCACGATGCGGCGTGTAATGAATCAAAGGGCCAATTAAAAGCACCAACACAGAAAGAAAATTAATCGGGCGAGAGCGGAAACAAGGGAGTGAAAAGCGGCAACTCCGATAAACTGAAATTGATTCGGAATGACGCGGGAAAGCGTATCGCGAGCATATGCAAGCACACACATTCGTTTCCCACCTGTTGTTTTTGTATTTGGCCAGGGGCTGAGCAGCTGGATGGGGAGTTTCGGTGGGGAAATATGTGGCTCCATAAAAATCCAGTCCACGGCTGAGCAGCGTCGAGGTCTCTTCCACGCTAGCCAGGGTAACCCTTATAACGGGTGGCCCCGTGTAAATCGTCGCAGGCTCGTTCTGGCTGTGAGCGTCGCTTTTCAACTTGTCGTTGATCGCTTTCACTAATTCGCAAAGCAGACACCGGGTCAGCGGACACGCGGTTTGGCAAATGACCGGTGAAAGAGGGGAAATTAATTCGATCAGGAACGATCCAGGCAAACGCCTGGAATTAATGTAATCGATCGCGTTAAGCCCGTGATTTCCGTGTCATTGTACGAGCGCTTCTTTGCGCGTTCCGACCGATATGAAAATCGACGGGATCGATATGGAAACCGACTCGAAAAGTATTCACGATCCAACAAATCGATCCGATATAAATCGACGATACCGCGTAGGTAAATCCGTGGCGCGAAAAATTTCGAAAGATCCGACGTATCGTCGTATCGCGATGACGAGCGTAGCGACGATGATATCGCGGAAAATACTCACGAACAGTGCCCGTGTTGAGAGGTAGCCGCGTAATTTCGACTATAGACCGGTACTTGTAGAGAGCGTGTCTAATATCCTCCTCGGGTAATTCTTCAGGTACGTCCAAAACGTAGACGGTGAACGTCTTCGCCGGTCTACAGGGTATAGCGACCTGCGTTCATGAATACGAAACGTCGTATTTAGAGGCGTTCTGAAGAGAAGGGTCCTTTGTGTACCGAAAGATAAGTACCTTCTTGTAGAAGCGTGCCCCGGTGACTTTGTGGAAGCCCTTTTTGTAGACCGCCTGAAAATCGTCGATGTTGCTGAACTTGAAGAGTATACCGGTGGCCGTTTTCGTCAAGGAGAACGCGCCACTGTAATGCAAAACGACAACCACGCTTTATCTCCTATCTCTCTTTCCTCTTCTGCTCTCCGTCTGTTCTTCGTCTCCCTTTTTCCTCCAATTTGCCCATTTTATTACAATTTTCTCGGCTACTCGGTTTGTTCAACCTCCGTACTATTGTATCTCCAAACAATTTAATGGATCGATTAAATTTAATAAATTAATCAATTGGTCATCCATCGAAATGGAAACGTCGAAGGCAACGAGAATTTCAATTAAATCGTCGTCGTACTGGCTTGCCTCCGTTTAGAATTAACGAGAGACTCCCTTCGCCCTCCTATCTGTTGTGATTTACGCGTGCCGAATCATTAGAGACATTTCAAACAGTACGATACACCATTTTACCGATAGTGTACGCTTATAAACCTTTACGTGAAACGAAAATTTATCGCGTAACGAAGTCGTAGCTTTATTTGTCGATATTACCCAACAGATACATCGAAATGCTATTAGACAACGAAGTGACTTATATCGATAAGATCCAATTGAATTAGTAAAAATGAAGATTTATCTTTTCGAGATTGGTTCTTAATCGAAATTCGAAAGTTTAATCGAATTGCTAAAAAGCCATGCCTTGCAGTTTTATAAATCGAAGATTGAAAAGTCCCGACCCATGAAAAGTCCAAAATCCTCTAGTTTTAGAAATGTAAAACTACGTAACTTGAAGTTACGATTTAAAAAAATTTAAGACATTCTGATCATTAAAAGTGCTAGAAAATGTCATTTGGAGACTTGAAATATCCCAACTGGGGAAACCGCGACATGTCCACCGAAACTTTCTATAAACAAATTTCTACCACAGCTTCGTATAGGATTTTACAAGGAAAGCTAACGATTACGGCAATAAAAAGGAATCTGCGTGAACCTCACCGAAAATTCATCTTCTCGCATATAGTGGCTGCCTTCTCGATGCTGAGCTCGTGGCTCGGTGTCAACAAAAAGGCACCCTTGGTGAGAAAGTCGGTCTCGCTGATCTCGGAATCGGTGTCCTGATCCTGCCAGTCACCGGAGTCTCGTCGACTATCCTGATTCAATCGGGACAGAGAGCTATTTTTCGACGCGGACATGTCGTTTTCGCACGTGGCACTGCCATCCTGTCCTCTCTGAGACATCTTTTATAGGGCGTCGAAGGTGGGATCGGCTGGCTCACGATCGAACGTAACCCGTTACGCGAGATCGACTCCTTGTAAGACACGTTCTCGACGCACTGTCGAACAGTTACGCATCGATACGCTCCTTTTATACAGAGCGCAAGCTCTATGATCGCTAATCGTCGATCGTTCTGCCCACGATCTTGCGGCGATCTTAGACAGATGGGCTTGTTCGAAAAAGGGGAGTCGTTAAGCGTCGACGAATGAAGTTTGATGGATGGTCGAGACGTTTTTCTTTCGAGGATGCGGATGTAATAAAGAGTAACGCGAAATCGAAGAGAGGAGAGATGTTCCGGGGTGGAGATAGAGAAAGATCGACTGGATGTTGGAAAGTACAGCAATCAGAATAAATATAGATAAAATAGAGACGAAGTATCGGGCGTGCGATGAGCAGGAACGTACCAAAGTTATAACGAAGTTTACTACTAGAACTACCAACCTATATTATATACCGAAGCATAATTAAACTAACAGAGGGGCAATAATTTTAACTACCGAATTAACGTTCTCTGTATCGTAGCAAACCAACGAGGATAAACGACGCGATAAAAAGTTGTAGTTGATTAAGTTAAAGAAATAGGGGACAGTGTTAACTCGGATCAAGGCTAATTATCTCCAAGACGCTTTAGATACGTGGGCAGAGCTATTACCTACGTTATTATAAATTATGGAAGAAGCGATACAGTATATACGTTTGCGTATATCGAAATTAGTTAATTTATCGTGAAACAGCGTTCTTCTATTAATCAAATATTCTGCCTGTTTATGGTAGAGTGCGTGACATGTCATTTAACACCTACCACGGAATATACGTATGTACACGCCCGACACGTTTAAATCAATTTTTGCATGCATCATTAACTAAATGATGATGCATTGCTTCCATCCACCTCCCATACACTTTTTTTAATGACCTTCTATCGTATAGAAAACACGTCGATAAATATCCCCTAGCTAGCGCAAGAAACCATTTTAAGCGTAAGATGGAATTCCTAGCTGCGCGTTCCAAATTTTCATTTCTATTCGCGTTTAGCGATATTTCGAACGACAGTGTCCCTCTTTCTTCGACCAGATGTATTTTGATTCTCGGTAATCGAACTTTGCCAACTATCGGTACCAAAAACGTTATAATCATACTCGAACTTTTCTGAACTTGCGAATTCTGAACTTATGAAACTCTCGAACTCTTGTTAAACTTTATTACGAACTTTAGCGAAACTTGGAGTGCTTGTAACTAACGCGAAGATCGGTCGAATGAAAGACAGAAATTAACAGAAGTGGTTCGTTACACGCTCCTCGAGTTTAAGATACAATGGCCAACTTTACATACGGTAAATTTTCTGTATATTTAATCACGAGACAGCTTCTCAAATGAAACGCTTACGTACTAGAATTTTTACATTCTTTCGCTCTGCTTAAGCTTCGTTCTACTTAATTTCCTTGTAACATCCACTTAATCAAAGACCTGTCGTTTCTTAGTTTTTCACTGGAATCGACGATTCCAGCGACGCTTAAGATCATCCGACATTCGTTTAAACAGATCGTCGTCCGAACGATGCCGAGACCGATCGTTGAGTCGATTGAAATTTCACTCAAGCCGAGCAACAATAAGATGGAAACCGAAAGCGCCAATTAATACGGCTTCATCGATCTCTCTAGCGACAATGGTGCCAGGCTGGTACACAAAGATGCAAACAAGCATGTACACGAGACAGAGCATGTACAGAGCGAGAGGGTGTTTGGCAAAAGACGTGAGAAACCGAGAGAGAGAGAGAGAGGAGGAGAAACGTGCGAATCGCACGTTCAGAAGCTTCATTTGAATTGAAATCAAGAGAGCCTCGGCTTCTGGCAGGATATTCCGGCGACTGACTGCGACAAAGCGGCGAGATGCATCGATTTGCACTAATTATCGGCTCGGTAATTGCCGTGAACAAGATCGCGATTCATCGAGCCATTGCTGCTGGAGATCGAACCGATCGATCGTTAAATCTGGCGTTAATGAAATGGAATAAACGTGCGTGGATGAAAGTACTCGACTGCATTGTGCCATCGCAGAGGCTCTTCGCTTAAGAATCAAGAGTCCTAAGTCTCGCAAAGTCCTTTGAAGTTACGAGTGACACTTAAGATAACGAATGTACTTAAAGAGAGGAGAATTGCGAAAATCGGATTACTTATGCCGTTTTATGCCGCGTACCATATTTGATATTACATGATTCGTGCGAAAATTAAAAGGCGCCATCGTATTGTATTACTACCAGAAAGAACCGATAAATTATCAACGATAACCAAATAATTAATCACGATACTATTAATTTTCTCTCACGATACTATAAATTAAACGCGATGCATATACCACGCGATATTACATTTTTGTTATAATTAATACGAAATCCTACAAACGAAAAGATCGCGAACGTGCCACGGCCATTAATTCGGAAATGTTCGATTTGCGAAATCGTCGAGTCACAGCCGGTCTAATGGAATTCATTATGCACGGAGACTATTCTTATTGCATCCAGGCTAATAATGATTTATGGTAACACTCGGTATCCACAACGACCATCTGTTACCGGTGCGTTTCGCGGTGCACGACGCAAGATGTGCAATAAACTTCGCCGCGAAACTAAATTGCTGCCGTATTATGCGGCCGCGTTTCGATTTAATGACTGCGTCTCGCAACGATTCGAAACAGCGAAAACAGCCAACGTTGCCCGAAATCTGTAACGCTCTGTTCGTTCGCCATTGAATCGCTTAACGTCCGGAACAACATTTATGGTGGTAGTCGATCGTGCTTCGACGATAATATCGGTCCTGCGAATATCGTACCGGGAGATATCGTTATCTCCTGTACTTTGTCGTTCGATGATCTTTTTTATTTTTTTATTTCAATTTGTCATCTTTTATTTCAGTTACAAACGAAATTTGCGCGACACTTTGTAACTTTCGGAACAATCTGGAAACAATCCGGATATAAAACTAACTTAGTCGATCAATTGGTTCGCGACGAAGCGCGAAGCGAAGCGATGGTTACTCACCCCGTAATTTCCACGCGACGAGCACTTAACACGATTTTTTCTGCTGGATTCGATCGAACGTGGCGCGCATCTGTTCCCCAATCACGAACTGGGGCGGCACGGCCGATTTGGTAATTTCGAATCAATTATTATCGATCGGAGCGCTCGCAAATTCCCAGTCGGTATTGGCAAAGGGCGCACCAGATTACCAGGGCAAACGGCCGTAACGCGGTCAGCATAATCCAACTAAAAACGAATATGTATCGGCATCAGGTGGAAATTGTCGCGAAGCCGGACGTCGATTGTTCGTTGCTTGAGCGACGATCGTTTACAGTTACAGCAAGACAGAAACACGATTATGCCGTTAGCCAGCTGCAACCTAGTCCTTCCACGATGTATTTCGCTTTCGCGCAGTTTCGTTTTCCTGTTGTCGCCCGATGCATTCGATTTCTACCACGACCCAATCAATTTTACTATCGTTTACGTTACTTTTTCGCGTTTCGCCGGATGCTGGGCCGAAGATTACATCGCGCTCGGCGTTGCTAATTGTACACGGTCGAGAATAATTTGCAAAACGAATGGATGAGAATCAGTCGCACCGAAAATATCCTCTATCCGACCGATTCTCTATTGTTGTTCCTTCTCTGGTTCGTTCCACGACTGTGAACTTTTTTAGCAATTTCACGACCCAATTCAGGAACGAAGTACGTACTAGAACGCAATTACGATTTGCTTTTGAACAAGGACCATAATCGGCCATCGTGGTTGGCGATAATTCACCGGAAATCAACGAAACCTGTTCATCG